CCCCCAAAAAAAAAAAAGCTTCTCAACATCGCAAAATTAATAAACTGCACCACAGGGCATTTCCACGTGCATTTGAATGACAATGTAAATATATGTACAACAATGGAAATTTCAACAACGTAATTCACCTTTTTCTTCTCGGCCACAGATTTGAATCGCCAAAAGAGGTCCTCAAGTTCTTTTCCCTCAATATCGTATCCAAGCTGCATCAGGATTAAAGGATTTGTTTCATGCTCTTAAATATAAGAAAGAAACTCAAGTCCAGGGCATACAATTTACCTCGAGCATTTTGGCTTGCAAAGCATGACGCCCACTACACAAAAATGTTCAACATATCAATTTCTTATAGGAATGAAGCAATTAGATTTAAATGATGAATAGTGCAGGTTCGGAGGGAGGCATAGGAGGGACAAAGGTACAGACTGTGATGATATTATCTGATGCAATGGTGGCTCTGACATTTTATAGTGAGGCAAACTCAATAAGCTTCTTCTACTTCATCCCTCCATGAGAAGAGAGGAAGTTCCTAAAGACCTCTACAGTATTTTAAAACAACAAAGATGCGATTCATTATTGAAACAGCAACAGCATGTTGATCAGGGAGCCTTACTAAAGTACTAAAGAAATATATCCTTCATAGCAACAAAAAGGATGTAGTAAATCTAAGCAAGTTTAATAATCAACGGATAATAAGCAAAAGCTCGAAGAGCACAGAAATCTAACATTTATGCCATCATAGCAACAAGCATTGATTGGAAAATCACATACCTGAGTTTCCCAAGGACGATGCCAGATTCATTAACTCGGTTAAGCCCAATATCTTCAGGAGATATAATCTCATATGTATCTTTGTGTTTTAACATTCCATCCTAGAGAGCACAAAGTAGTTTAAGCAGAAGAGTTTGAAAAAGAAAAACTGAATTAATTAAACTTCACAACCATACAATAATAAAAAGGTAGAGAATCCAGCTTTGACGCAAGGAAGAAAAGGGAGGGGGAGACACTAAAGATGTTTAACTGAAACACTTTATGCAGTTCAAGATGAATCAAAAACAGTGCAAACAGAACAACTAATCAATCTCTAACCAGATATGTGGCAGATTTATTCATAGATATCCAAATATAGGAATAATAACTACGCAACTAAAGTGAAAAGGGCCAAAAGCAAATGGATAATCTGAAAAATGAAAGAGTAAGTGGATTCAAACTCTTGAAAGAAGCTATTTTATGTCAGGAGGTATAAGATCTCTGCCCCTCCTGGAATATGCTCACCAATGTCTACAATGATCTAATGCCCCAAGAAGGAATACTTGGAGCTACTTTCTAGTGGTTTTTTGGTACTTTGAGGCTTCTGTTTAATTTAAAAGTATTTCTATTGGCTGTGAGTTGTTGCTTAAAACTTGGAGAACAACCCTTCATGCTAACAGAGCCAACTTTTCAGTGACAGTAACTGAAAAGCTGTGACATACCAGCAAAGAAAGCTATACCCTTCACATTGTCCCAAATTTTTAGACATGTCACTGAGCCAATAAAAAGAATATTGTGTATCCTTGAGCTTTCAGCAGCTCTTAATGAAACAATTTCACAAGCATCTAATAATCCCTTTCCCTTCTTCCGTTCTCCTTCTCTCCCTCTACTTCATTCTCTTAAATCTCTTGCATCAACTCACTATTTCAGTGTATATCGGCAAATTACTCTTAAAACAGCTCCCATATTATGCTTTTGTAGATGTCAGATTCAGCAAACTAGTAACCAGAACCAGACCTATTCTGAAATATCTGTTATTTTGACGCGAAGTTAAAAGATAATATAGTTCATGCTCACTTGTTTTCTTCCTCTGCGGATGATTGTACTGTTTATAGGATTTGTGCAAAAAAAGTCTTTTGTTCTTACCCAGTACCCGATGGAATAGTGCAAAAAAAAAAGTCTTTGCTCAAAGCAAGGTAATACAAGTTACAGAACTAATTGGATGAATAGAGTATCTATTTTCAACTTAAATAGCAAAATTTTGTGCTTAGTCAAAGCAGAATAAAGCAAAAATTAACAAACATTCAAGCAAATATGCCCATGAACTAATAAGAGGATTGAGTTGCCTCTTTCAAGAACTGTTTAGGGTTTAGAACATTTGTCTCTTTCAACAATGAATTAGAGCAAAATTACGCAGACCTGATGGATGCCACTTTCATGAGCAAACGCATTAGCTCCAACAATGGCCTTGTGTGGCTGCACATGAAGCCCGGTGTACTCCTCTACCTGCATAGCAAAGGGTCAGCAGAAGGCACATCAGAAAGATATTAACCAGTAAAATATCGGCAGAGACTATGAAATAGCAGGGGACAAACCATCTTGCTTGACATGAGTATATGTTGTGTATTAATTCCTGTATACAGGCCACCTAGTACTTGCTCTCCACGACATTTTAAGGCCATTACAACCTATTCCGGCATTGTCGAAGGTAACAGGTTAGAAAATGAAAGCCCAAAATGCCCAAGAGGAAAAGCAAACAGAACAAGCAACACAGAGGACAAAAGAATCCCATACAAGTCAGTAGTTGTCCGTTTCAACAGAACATATCACAACCAACAGCAGAAATTTGCTTCAAAATATGGTTGCAAATTTGCAACTATTGTTTTCAAATAGTTAGAAACATAGATGGTCGATCGAGCCATAAAGGGTAAGTAAAACCACACCTAATAAATAATAGTGAAAAAGCTAACATAGGGAAAGAGAGGGAGAGAAATACTATGATAGCACATGAAATTCCATCCTTCATCCAAAATTGGATGTCTCGCTGTGACATTAAATAGTTTTTAAAAGGATATATGAAAATCTGTAGTCACTATAAAGTTTGCTCTTTTCTTAGCCTCAGAGAAGAAAAGTAGAAAACTTGTGCACCGTAGAAGTGAGTGGCAAAATTTTAATTGTGGAAAATAGTCAATCCAAAGTGGAAAGGCAACCAAATGTGAGGCATAGGAGATACTAACTTCAACAAAAGGAAATCATCAAGCAACTATGCCTCAATCCCAAATTAGTTGGGTTCAGCCATATGAATCTACTATACCCATTCACTTTGTTCAATCTTTGACTTTTAACACAAAGTAGGTTTATCTAAAACCAGAGGTGTCTACGTTTCACATTTATCTCTACAGGGACATACAAGCCTTTTAACCAGAAAAAAAAAAATGATCGAGAAAAAACTACTTTAAGGGAGTGTAATAATAACAGTTAAACATTAAATCAAACTAGATATTGCCTATATAGATCCTTTATTTATAGTTGTATTATTTCATAGCTAGTCAAACTGAATCCGTGAGATTGGAGGACTTTCGATATAACTTCCTTCTAAGTGACTTAAGGTCTACTTTTTCTGCTTTTATCACCTTCAATCATCATAGTGTCACACCTATGGACCAATGCGTCTAAAGGCTACAGAGGATATGGTCAAAAAGAAAGTCTTCCCCGTCTTAATTCTTAAATATGAAGTCCTTACTCAACCCTTCTTTTCCGCGTCACCCCAAAAAATGATGTCCTTAAAATAAGTTTAAACATATCTTACAAATTCAGAAGGTTGGATGTACTCACTTCTACCATTCTCAACACCCTTTTTTCTTGATTTTATTCCTAAAAACAAAAATAATAACATGTGGCTCCCACAAGATCCTCTAAGGAAGGTTAGATAATACACAATTTCTACTCTTAAAATCAAGATGAATTGTATACTTTTGTTTCACTTTTTGTGCAAAGAGAGATATTTGGAAGATGCTCAGCCTTACTTGAGTTAATAGAGTCCTTGTAAGATGAACAAGAGCATTTTTGCTGTTTTTGAACTGTAAATATAGTGCTGTGCTGATGATAATACATTGTTACCTTTCTCGAAAAGAAAAATATCAGTTTAAAGTCAAGATGTTAATTTTGTTTCGGAAGAGGTAGAATAGTTCCTTTTGTGCAGAGAATACCTTACAGTGCTATGGGAAAATATTTTAAAGACCCATCTTTATGACGGAGAAAGAATAGAGGGGAACTCATAGTCCGGTTGTATACTTGGTGATTCCACCTCTTACCACCCCTCAAATTTTGGAGCTCAAATCATGCACATAAGAGAGCTGAAGTTTCTCACTGAAGAACCCTCACATACCTCCTCCAAAGAAGCATTTCCAGCTCTTTCACCGATTCCGTTGATGGTCACTTCTACTTGTCTTGCACCTGCGCATGCTCCCTGAAATTGAACACGCTTTAATGAACATACAGCTTATAAGTTGGTATAAACCACTAGGTTCTAAACAACATTGAACTACATACAGCTAAGGTGTTGGCAGTAGAAAGCCCAAGATCGTTCTGGCAGTGTGTTGAGATGATCACATCTCCAATTCCTGGGGTATTGGCCTTTATATCAGCAATCAATTTTCCAAATTCGCTGGGAACAGTGTATCCAACAGTATCAGGGATGTTAAGGGTTGTTGCCCCAGCTTTGATGACCTCTCCAAGGATATGATAGAGGAACTCTGGATCGGATCTGAGAGGAATAAACAGGAAATAAGGCTCAGTTCAAAATACAATGACGGCAACAAATCCAAGCTACAGAATGCATGAAAGTGGTTACCATTGCCAATTCTAATCACTTAACTAGTCCACGAGCTTTTATACATGACAATAGAAAATAGTAGGTAGTTTAAACCTCTTACTTGAGATCTCAAAGCATCATACCAGACAACTCCTTAATAGGAAAAGGCAACTTAACAGAGCATAAATTTCACGCTCTTACACACGCTAGTAGAGAAGAATGAAGTGAACAAGCGAGTTCATTAAAAGCCAGTTTAGTGTCAATAGCCTTGTGACAAGATCATCTCCAGAAACTTTACAGAATTCTGAAGGATCATTCACCAGCTAAAATGTTAATCATTTTTATGTAAATATCTGAATCTATATAACACTATCTTTAAGCATAAAACTGTCTATTCAACTATAAGACCATAATGGCCATGACTCATCCACAAGAGAAATAAGAAAATAGCATCTTATAAGCTTATTTCTTTTTGGTGCACACCGCGAGATCCCTATAAGCATAGATGATTGCGTGTTGTTGCTAGAAAATCATATTATTTTGAAAGCTTTCTACTTTTGGGCATACTTCATGTAAATGGGAAGATATTTGCTATTTTTTAATAAAATTTGATTACTTTATCAACAAAAAAAGATTGGCAAATTCCTGGATTGCCTGAATTCAATAAGGATCGCTTCACGAAAAAACCCTCAGAATCAACAATTCTAGCAGGGATGTGGTTATATTTAGTGAAATGATAGCCCAAAGTTAAATGTTAATTGATGAAATATTCTTACTAAATGTATATTATACTACTGACATCGAAAAAAATATTAAAGTAATGGTTAAAAAGTAAGTTAGTGTAACAGGGACATTATCACATCAAAGTTTATATTTTTAATACCTGAAAAGTTGAATAACATTAAATTTTTCGATAAAGTTCAAAATGGAAGTGTAAAGTGCAAACCTTCCAGCATCTTCTGGGCTAAATTCAACATCCTCACAACCAATACTCCTAGCATAAGCAACCATACTCCTAGCTTTCTCCACAACTTCATCTCTACTCATCTTCAACTTAAACTTCATATGTATCTCACTAGTCGCAATAAACGTATGAATCCTCGGTTTTTTCGCATACTTCACAGCCTCCCAAGCCTTATCAATATCCCTCTTATTACACCTCGCAAGTCCACAAATTACCGGAACATGTCCCTCTTCATTCACACCATTTCCAACTTCCTTCGCTATTAATTTCACAGCTTCGAGATCAGCTTCAGAAGAAGCAGGAAAACCGGCTTCAATTATGTCAACACCAAGCTTAGCTAACTGACGCGCAACGTCGAGTTTTTCTTTTGTGGTCATTGTGGCGCCTGGGGATTGTTCGCCGTCGCGGAGAGTGGTGTCGAAGATGCGAATGTAGTTCGGGTCGGGAATGTGGCTCGGGGTATATTCGGGTCGACGGCGGATTGCGCAGTGGATAATAGGGGAACATTTGGAGATTGATGGTTTGAAATTGAAGAGAGCTTGGGTTTGAATGAGAGGATTTTGGGGATGGAATGAGATGTTAGGGTTACGGGAAAATGAATGGTTTATGGTGATAGACGCCATTGGAGGAGAAGAGAAGAACAGAGGAGTCGAGTTGTGTGGAGAGTTGGGAATGGTGGAGTCAAAAATGAAGGGTGTGAGTGGCGGCGCAGGAGAGAGTGAAATTTCACTAAAGAAAATTTAAGAAAAAAATTAAATAATGTATTAATTGAAAAAGAAATACTAGAAGGATTTGATTATAAAATTCAAACTTAATTACAAGTCTTTTGCAGGTGTGGCTGCCCACTAATTTAGACTAACCTATTCATTTCTCCCTTTTAATGAAAACTAGTATATAATAAATATAATTTTTCATAAGAAAATATATCTCATAAAAGATGGTAGATACGAAAAACATGAAAATGCTATTATTTTTTGGAACATGTTAATGTAATGGATATTCGTATAATAAAGTAGTAAGAAAACACAATAAAAAAATATATATAGTTATTTTCTTAAGTCCAATAATGTTCTTTATAACCATAATAAAGCAAGTCATGTATACCAGGTAGATTGCCACAAACAAAGGTTTCTAATGCCTTAAAAATTCAAAAATACGACAAAGCCATAGTATTTCGAGATAGAAAAATCAAACTTCATAACATACAGTTAGGGGAAAACAATTACTTCCCATTTGCACAACCTTGATATCCACAATGTACACACTCTAGTACAACAACTTTCCTAAGGTGCTTGGGGACATGACAATGTACACACTCATAAATACTATGAGTTTTGGTTGATATTACATGCAGAGACGCTCGTATCAAGGTTGCATGTCAAAATACAAGAAATAGGAAAGAATTAAATATAAGAAACAAACAGATTCTTAAGATGTAGAGGATGTTGCCAAAAAACACCTTCTTTCACCTTTCAATCAGTTTGTGATCTACATAATCTTGTTCCAAATAGAACTCATATGAAGCATGACTTTTTTAACTGATGTCTAATTATGCTATTTATTTTGTATGTAGTATTTTTGTCCTTCCTTTGTGTAAAGAATTATAGGTTGTTCACGTAGTAGTTAGTACATAAGTTAATCAAACATAGTTTTATAGCATAATATTCTTCAAACTTACTGGAAAGTTACCTTTTTAAATTGTAGATTCTCAAACGTCGTAGGTATGTCCTCATTAAAGTTGTTGGGAGAATGAAAGCCTTGACAGAATGATATTCTGCCACACTTGTGTTCTTTTTGTTTTGCTTTCATCTCCTTTCTCTCTGGATCATATGGCCAATCTTGTCCAACAAGGAGAACATCTTTGCTTAAGTGAGCTTGATGGCGAGCATAGTGATTTCCATGACCCAAGTTTCCAATAACCTGAAACTCCCTTGGAGAGCTCGTCTTTGTATTTTGCCAACTTCTGGTGCCATTGATATTGATTTTCTCCAACTGCTGTTGTTGCAGACTTCATAACTTTACCAGCCATTGTTCCTGAAGAAAAATAAATTTAATTTTTCTTTAAGTGTTCACATTGTCAAGTTTCGGGTAAGATGGAAATGAAAGTAAAACGACATTAATCAATTGACTTTTGTTGTTTTTTTTTTAAAATCAGCCTCGGACAAATAGCTTCACACGTAAATTAATAACATTGTGTAAAGTTTCTTCCAATAACATACGATTAGACAATTTTGTGAAGCAAATTCATATGTCCCATACTTACATCTACATATAACGAAACTCCTTTTGGGGAATGATGTTCTATGTATACCTTTTCGATTTAAGTTGTGACTATTTGTCTTGTCTTGCACCTATGTTGGAGTTAAGATTCTCATATCAATGTTGCCAATAAAGATAATATCTATATCTCAAGATTTTGATATGACCCCCGCAACGTCCCATTTGGCACAAATTCAAAGAGTATACATGCTAACATTTAAGTCATCTTGACATCATTCAAAGCAATATCCAACAATACTAACTAAATGGCAGTATAAGACTGGGTTATATGCCTCAGATTAGATTTGTCAAATCAAAGTTTTTAGTGGCCTCTTAAAGCTCATCCAATTCAAACGTTCGATAAGGAGGTAATCCTAGCAGTCGTAGCTTCCTTGTTTATATAAACTCCTTTCAGGGAATAAATTTGCATGTATACCTATCCGACTTGTCCTACACATATCCGATTTGTCTTTGAGGTTGGGTAATAAATGACAGTTTCTATGAAGCCAGCAACAGTACTAATGTGTAGAAATATTAAGATTCTCACATCCAATGAGGAGGAAGGACATATGTTGTTGTCACTATAATGTCTGCTGATAAAAATAAAATACAGATATAATTTTTTAAGTCAAGACGCGCAAAGTTGCAAAAATGTAAGGACAGAAATTCATAAATGAGTTTAAAAGAATATCTTGATTAAGATGTATATCACAAGTTATACAAATTTCTGAGAAGTAACAATGAGATATAGATTTGTGCATGCTATTTATTACATAATAAAACCATTAATACGACAGTTAAAGAATTTCTTACCATGAACAATTAAATTATTTTTAATATCCAAAGGAAACTTGAGTTGTTGTTGTCCTAGGAGGTAGTCCTTCAGAAAATGACAATATAAATTAAGATGTATTAGTACAGAACTTAAATTTAAAGAAGAGAGAGTTTTTTCATAATATAGACTTTTATCATTAAATACCTGAATGGGTAGAGATGTCAACATGCATGCCGCAAAGAAGTGGCAACTAAAGTGCTAATGTGGTGTTGATAGGAAGAGTGATGAGGTTAGTTTGATCGAGCAATAGCCAATGTAAAGGCCAGAGCCATTGTATAGATAAGGTTCAAACTTTTCTTCAAATTCTTCCCACAAAGTTATTTTTGTGGAAAAAGAAAAACATAATCTAGTTGAGTTAAAATACATATGATTCATCCAAAATGTAATATAAAGATACGTGCTTAAACAACTTTAAAACAGAATTAAGGTAAGCATTAATCCACTTTTTAGGAAGAAAACAAAAAAAAGGTGCTTAAAAAGATATGAGATGCTTACTAATCGGTAACAACTTAGATGTCCCATTTTTTCACTTATTTCCAACACTCTCCATGTCACCAGTGGCACATAGAAAACCAACCACATCTATAATATGAACTAAAAAAAGGAGTTATTTCATAATTATATTGGAATTAAACAAAATGTAGCAACAAAGATTGATAGTAATATATGAACCTGATAACAAGGTATTATTGTTCAGCCTTCAGCTAATCATGTATGGTTTTATTAATTCAAATCTGTTTATAGGAATATTAACAATTCCTTTGTGTAGTTTCCGGAGCGAATTGTAAGAAAGTAATTTCAAAAGGACTTGTCTGTGGTCTATATTCACCAAAAATCTCAGTAACTTTAAAGTTCTTATTAACATAACCTAAACCTTCACACATCAAATTTTTGTACCTATTTACTTGATTCTTTCTGATTGTAGCATGTATCAGGTTGTGCTGGTATAAAAAAAATAGTAAGTGTTTGGACAGTTAAAAATTACAAAAAACATTTACAAAAGATTAACATACATGTATTACCTCTTCATCATTAAAGTTAATTTCTAAACTATAACACTAATTGAAAGATATTGTTGCCAAAACTCGTAGGAAAATAAATTATATTCCAATGTCTGTATATAAACAAATATTTAGAGATATTAATGTTCAATGTGTGGCCTATAATTTTTGTCCCTTTTTTAACGTATTAGGTACGTCAGGGACATAACCTGAATTTAAACTTTATGACCGCATTTAATTTTAGCAGGAAACCTATTATATTTTAAAATAAATAGGATGAGACGCATTACCTGATTCCTATAAGGCTGCATCCGCACTTGAGGCAAGGAGTAAAGTTGACCGTAAGTGTAACAACCCAACTGGTTGTTTTGAACTCTAGCACGCCGTTCAGCAGTTTGAGGCCATGAGCAGCTTCACTTAAGGTATTATGACTTGTGCGCGCGGTCGGAATTGAATTCCGGGAAGTTTGGAGTTGATTTGGAAAGAGAATTCTCATTTCGGAAGCTTTAAGTTGAAAGAATTAGCTAAGATTGGATTTTTGAGTAAACGACCTCGGAATCGGGATTCAAAGGTCCCAGGAGGTTCGTATGATGATTTCGAACTTGGGTGTATGTCCGGACTGGGTTTTGGAAGACCCGGGAATGTTTCAGCTCCTATTGTGGAAATTAGCATGTTTGGAAGAATCTCATAAGTTTGAATTTAAGTGCATTTCAGGGTTATCAATGTCCGTTTGAGATTCCGAGTCTGGGAATAGCTCCATATGGTGATTCTGGAATTGGGAGCGCGATCGAAAGTGAATTCGGAGGTACGTAGGTCATTTTGGAGTCATTTGGCTAAAGATAGAAATTTGAAGGTTTTTTGAGAAGTTTGACCGGAAGTGGACTTTTTGATATCGGGGTCGGATTCCGATTCCGAAAGTTGGAGTAGGCCCGTAATATCGAGTATGACTTGTGTGCAAAATTTGAGGTCAATCGGACTTGATTCGATATGTTTTGGCATCGAATGAAGAAGTTTGAAATTCTAAAGTTCATTAAGCTTGGATTGGAGGTCGATTCATGATTTTAGCGCTGTTGGATATGATTTGAGGCCTCGAGCAAGTCCGTAATGTGTTTTGGGACTGGTTGGTATGATTGGTTGGGGTCTCGGGTGGATTCCGGGTGGTTAATGATTCGAAAATAGAATTTTGGAAAGGGCTGAAGTTGCTGGTGTAACCACACCTGCGAGACTAGGGCCATAGGTGCGGAGCCGCCGAAGCGGCCTTCGTGCCGCAAAAGCAAAAATGGATGGCTAGGATGGGACCGTAGATGCGGTCGTTTTGGCGCAGATGCGGGACCGCATCTGCGGAGGAGAGGGCGCAGAAGCGGAATAGGCTGGGAGCCCTGGACCGCAGAAGCGGCGTTTGATTCGCACTTGTGAGACCGCAGGTGCGGAAACGCTGGAGGCAGTGAGGTTCTTTTAAATCGGGGGTTGAGTTCATATCAACCCCATTTCTTCCATTGGAGCCGATTTTGGAGCAACTTTGAGGTGCCATTTTCACCACCAAGCATGATTTAAGTAATTTATGCTAGTTTTTAGTTAAATACATGATTATATACGGATTTGGACAGGGAAGTTGGTAGAAACTTGGG